TCTGCAAATTCTGATAAATACCTTGCCACAAGGACATGATAAAGGAAAGGAAGGTAAATGGTAGAGCCAAATAACAGCAGTTACCTTCAAGTTCATGAAACCAGAATCTGATAGGACAGATGCTTTCTAGAAATTAGGAAAAAAGAGGTAAAATACCATTGTATAATTTTTGGGACCAATAGCAATAACTAAAATTCAGCTGATAATAGAACGTGTGTGTTTAACCCTTACAAATGGAGCCACGTTTGAACCTTCTTGAACTAATCCTCTTTCTGCAAAGGAAGGAAAGAAAGGATGGAAATGGGTCCTCACCTGAAGAATGCAATGCTGAGGCAGATGCTGTAAGGAAAAAAGCTGTATATTTTTTCTGTCTCAACATTACACTAATGATAAAATGAATAAGGTGGCATTCTCCTAAAATAAATAGAACATGCTATTCTTAACATCAGAAATCACTGGTATTATACCATGGGGAATTTTGCCATGTTATGTGATTGAGAGAGAACATGAAAGATTCACATGCTGCCAAATTTTACTTGACCTCATTTGAGAATGTTCATGAGTGTTTATAAGGATACAATCACTATATCAACATGCCAGTGATTGTAATGTAGTGTTATAACACCCTGTACTGGCTGCTACAGAAGCATGTAGGACCTACATTCAGATCTTTCAAAACCCATTTCTCCTTTGTGCCTTAAGGAAATGATCCTTCGGGCACAAAGCAAGACGATCCCCGAGCGAGGCAAAAGGGGGAAAGGGGCCAGGAGGCTTCCCTGGCTGACCAGAGAAATCCAGGGCAGCCTAAGGGACAAAAGGGGAGCACATAAAAAGTGGAAACAGGGAGAGATCACCAAAGATGAATATACCTCCTCTGCTCGTGCTTGTAGGGAGGCAGTTAGACAGGCCAAAGCTGCCATGGAGCTGAGGATGGCAACCCAAGTAAAAGACAACAAGAAATTGGTTTTTAGATATATTGGGAGTAAAAGGAAGACCCAGGGAGGAATAGGACC